GGTCACAATATGGTTCACAAATGTAAGCAAGCTTAGCACGCTAGGCCATGCCACGGGTGTCTATAGTGCACAACCCAACCAAAAAACATTTTTTTAAAGGCATTAAAATGAAGGTTTACATAATGTTGAAAAATTTGGGATGTACTACTAGGCTAATTTTTTTAACCACACATCTCTGCCACAGCAATCGTCACACTAGGCTACATACGTCTGATACGTCCTGCTGGAGTGTGATGTGATTTGTCTCGTGCAGTTGTGATGGRTCGAGTATAAACCAATAGTATGTCAGAATGGTAAATATTTATATTTCTCATCCAATCACAATTAAATTCACTCTGTCCAGGGGGTTTGATTTATCTGGACAAGTTTCTTTCTTTTCAACTATGACACGCTATAATGAAAACAAACCAAAGTGAAATAGAAATAAAACACTTTTTGTCTTTTGAAAATGTAAGGAGTACAAAACACAAATGAACATGAATTCAGGAATTTTTAAGTCCCTTAATTTTAGATACATAAATTTAAGACTTTTTAAGGACACCCTGTCAATGAATCACTGGTGTGTCATTAACCCCATGTGGGAAGTGGGCAGTGATGATGCATCAGCTTTAGAGTCTTCCTCAGCCACACTGAAAGGAATGGTAGATAGTTGATGATAGAGGAAACACACCTGTGTTTTATCTCAGACATGTCAACTTGTTGGCATTAGAACAGCAGCAGCAGTTCAAGACAGCAAGTACGGCCTTGTATGAAATAGGAACTAAAGTTAATGCATAAACTTATTTTATTCAGTTAATAACCACTTAAAAATTTTAAGCTAAACCTGTGTGGTCTTGGGTCATAATTACACCTGATAGTCAGGTAGACCCGGTTCGATTGGGGACCAAAATTGTAACGTGTTTACATTTTCAGTTAGTGCYGTTCACAGTCACACTGCACTGTGACAAGAGAACTAAACTCTGTGAACCTGTTCCCTCCCTCGCCTGTGGTGGCGCTGCACCAAGAACCACTGAAGAAAACATGAAAACCTCAGAAGACACGGAGCGCAACTTCGTTCTTCACAAAATGTAAACATGGAGTGACGTCAGATTTTAGTGGTTATAGGATTTGTTAATAGTCTTCAACAATGAGCTCAGCATGAGTGGAAGATGAAGCCGAACCCTGGAGAAAGGTGGCTGAGACGGCTCCTTGTGAGGAAGTGTTCACAGAGAAGGAGTGCATCCAACTTCACAGCAGTGATGTCCACCTTATACAGATGTCCAKCGAGGTATTCACAAGATATGAGTAACTTTATAACTGTTATTATTGCGTTATAGTCTGCTTCCTACTTTCGGAGCTGCTTGGCATTCACACATGCAATCAAACCGCGCCAGAGTTCGCTTCAATCAAAACAAAATTTATGTTTTCAACAAGCGTTCGCTTTTTTGGTCTGCATCAAATGAACTGGATTTTCTAGGCAAACAAACTAGAGTTCAATGAAAGTGGACTAAGCAGGGCTGGTGTGAATATACACTTAACTCCATAATACCTCCCCTTAAAGCAGCAGGAAGAAGAGATGATTTTTCTTACCCGGTTTGGCATCATGACCAGCTGCTGGGCTTTACTGATGGTGCCTGACTCGAGCTTGCCAAGAATAACAGTCCCCATGTCCTAATGAGATATTGAAACTTTTTAGAAAATAGTCATATTGTTAAATGTTTGCTTCAAGTGGTGCATGAAAAAAGGCTTACCTTGTATTTATCAACAATGGGCAATCTGACAGGGCCGTCACTTGATCTGTTGAAATTTGGCAAACTGTCCAAGTGAGGAATGAATGGTAGACCTCTGCAACATAAAACACACACAAAAGGTTGAGAATGAGCAAACAAGTGATAATTGCTTTAAATCATTGTTCAAGTTCCATCTTCTAATTTTACACTTTTCCTGACTGGTATTATCCGCCTGCCTCAAACACCATGAAAAAAACTACCGACTGTAGGAAAGAATTTCTAAGAGGTAAGATCAGATAAAAACAAATGTATTTTTTTCTTTATTTATCAGGAACACACTAAAAATCAAAGCTTTTACTGTTTAAGACTGTAGAAACTCTGTTTTATTATCATCACACACAAACACTTACGTGTACCAAGGGCACATGTCAGTGGGTTCCTTCAGGTTAGCTCCTGTTAGCCCAGAGCATGGCATGAAGTGAATGTCTTTCTTCGGGTTGAAGCCAACTTTTTTCAAAAATGGCACTAATTTCTCTTTACACTCATCGTACCTAAAAATTCAGACACAGAAATCAATGTTAGCCATTTTCAAAATAGGTTGCACATGAACTCATCCAAATCTACACCAGTAGTGGTCAATAGATAATTTTATGTATTATTAAGAGTACATGGTCCACATGCCTTTATAAACTCATTCAAGCTATGCACAGCCCTTTGTAGGGCATTTCCCTTTCATTGACATTTACATACACATACTGACATTTATATTGTGTTTGTATTCTGAACATACACTTACTATAGTTTCTCACACACAAATAAACAGCATATAAAATACACTTGTCCACTTTGATTGGATCTGACCTAATCCTAGTATAAGACAATATTTATATTAACTGATGTGGGTAAATGTTTAGTATGTTTGTTCGTTGTTTACAGAGGAAACTTGGTTCCCTGTTAAAAGCATTAAATAGCTTTCTTGGGTAACCCTACACATGAAGACTATTTTTATTTCACCATAGCACCAAGGTAACATGTTTTCACCAGAGTCTTTATCCAAATCATCCATCATAATTTCCATTGCCATTTATTTTACTCTTATGGACACCCCCAAGCCCAGTGCACATGCTTGTTTATTCTAGTCAAGTAAAAAAAAAAAAGCTAAGTCATTCTTTCAGCTTTTCAAATGTAGGTGGGACTCTAATTACCAACTATCCATTGCTACCAAAGTAACACGATAAAATCATTCCAGTAGAGTGATGTAACACATCTACATTTTGAATTCACCTTAGCACCTCCAAGCCATTACAATAGTTCGACACCCTAAACACTTCATCACCCCTTCATTATAAAAGCCTGAATACATTCACATACTTTTAGTTTAAATTTAGAGACCTCCTCAGATAAGTAAAAATTTCATAATTTAAGCCCAGTTGTTTTGTTTTCACAATTTTTACTGACCCTAAAAATCTGAGAACATTTTAAAACAACTTAAAGGTAAGTGGGTTCTGTTCTAAATATGCAGAATTGTTTGTTGATTTGGTTCTGGCCATATTTGGGTTGACATGTCCCATATTTTCAGGCAAATGCAGGCTTTACGGTTAAGGTGATGATGAACCTGAAATCGTTGCCTCTCCCCTATCACTCCACAACCACTTTCTTCACAGGGTTGCACCTCCTCATGATGTCGTCATGAAGATAATCCCTCCTCTGTGCAGGGTCTGTGGCTGCATGACACAGAGTACCTGTTCTCCTTTGTTTGTTATGTTCTGTCTTCTTCTGAATGGGTGTTCTGAACTGTAATTTCATTGTGCTCTGTACAATGACAATAAAGGTCTATCTAATCTAATCTAATCTAATCTAATCTAATCTAATCTAATCTAATCTAATCTAATCTAATCTAATCTAAAGAATTAGTAAAGAAATGTTAAATTCTATTGTATTAGTTTGGTGCCAACAAAGCAGTAGGCACACCTTTTACTACTTTACAGCAAATAACTCTGCAATTAGCAGAGGGCACCTTTAATTTCCAGGTCTGCACCACTTGACATTTTCCTTCTACCAACCTTTCCAGGCTCCAGTTGACTGTAGGATCATCCATTTTGTTCACCAGAACAATCAGGTGCTTGACCCCGGCTGTTTTTGCCAGCATGGCATGCTCTCTTGTTTGTCCACCTTTCTCAAATCCAGTTTCAAACTCACCTTTCCTGGCAGAGATCACCTAAAGAAACAACATGTAAGATGTTAGTGTTATTACATACAGAATGCTTGTAATTTAAAATACAGAAAATATATTCTAACCAAGTGACCTTAAATATATTTGTTCTGTGGATATTTGTTTAACAGAAACAAAAATCAAATGAAAAAAAAAAAAAAAAAAGAAGAATATAATGCAATGATTTTTAAATCACAAACCCATGTTTTTATTCACACTGGAATAAGAGATGTTTCAAGCAAAACAGTCTGAATTTGTCAGTAAGAAAATTTTCTTCAAATATTCAAAACATGGTCATAGTTTCCACCAAACCACTGGAGTTAAAACTTTAAATGTAAAAAATATAATAAAAAAAATTGGCACATTCCAAATTGGAATCCAAATTAGAAAAAATACAACAATTCTGGTTTTGTGGTCCAATATAGATTTCTACGTCTTTTACAGTTCTGTCCAACCTTTACCCAGTTTTCAGATATCAATTACTTGTACACCATCTCTAGTGTGAAAATGTGATTTAAAGTCCTGATTAGTCTCTACTGAATGATYTATCCAAATTAGCTTTCAGGGGAAACACAGAGTGCTGAATGAATGTGTGAATGGGTAAATAATGGCACAGATTGTAGTGTAAATTGCTTTGAGTATCTTGGTTAGGTWGAAAGGCACTATAAGTACAGTCCATTTATTGATCAGAACCAGTAAGGTTACCAATAATGTAATTACTTTTGATTGATTGATTGATGATGCCTTTATTGAACGGAGCACAATGAAATTACATTTAAGAAAACCCATTCAAGAGTCACACGTGACAAAAAACATAGGGGAACAGGTGTACAGGTCTCATAACTTGCATTTTTTGTTGAAACATCCTTAATAATTTCACAAAAAAGCAGATTTAATACACTGTGTGAGGGTGTTATTTTCTAAAACTAGGGATGTAAAAACTARTTGAGAATTGATTAATAATCAGTTATAACTGCTTAAAATKTGAATCAGTTCAGTCATTTTTATGRATCGATGTCGAGCTGTCGATCTTGYCCCYGCTGACACATTTTTTCAGGTCTATAAAGTACTATAACTTTTCAACAGTTTGCACAATCTGAGAAATTTCAACGTTTCTGAAAGTTAAGAAGCTGTGCCAACTTCTGATTTTCCAGAAGGCTGACATGAYCTAAAGCAGCGAGAGGGAGAGATAGAAGCCAGACAGTGCTTGAGAGAGAGGGGCCATGGTGATGCTGAGAGACAGAAGCTGCTCACCACATCATCCATGATGGAAGAATGAAACAGAGGCTGATGTCTGATGTTTTTTAAAAGCAAAGTTCTAAATGTTTTACTGTAAATATTTTTTATACTCTCAAGCTCACATTTTTATGTCAAATAATTTTATTGTATACATCAGACTTTTTGCTCACTAAATCTCTAAAAACAAATGTATTTTTTTATTTTTACTCATTTTAATAAAATAATACATGCTTTTAACTGTTTTTTTTGCATCCTTTTAGAAGGCAACCTATGACCTAATATGGTCAAAGGTTTTTTCTTGCTAATTTTTCCAATGCGGGCGCAACTTCTACATTGGCACATAGCCAGGGTTGCACATAAAATDTTTGGTCTGGTTCTCAGGGGAGAAYCTAGGGTTGTTGCTTGGTGCTCATATTTTCCTTCACTCATTTAACACATTTATCTATAGGGGTGTCAGGGCATCTAACGTCCCCCTGTTCTGTTTCATGACTGCTGTCAGCTGCAACGTCTCAGGACATCGTGCCAAATCAGTTCAACAAGTTTTTTAATTTATTCTTTTACTCTACATAAATTTTTTAAACTTCCTAAGTGGCCGAGGGGCTGGGTGTATGTCATATAAACATCACAAACTCAACATTTCATGGTTAAATGTCTTTTAGACTACACATGTTCCTCAGATGGACAGCTCCTGTTTGGTCTTCTGCATCTTCAGCCTTGGTTAAAGCAGCCTTCCACACTCTTCAATCCAAGCAGTAAATATCTGTCTTTCACACAGAGCAAAATAACTTAAAACATACAAATGTTTTATTTGTTAGACTGATTTATTTTTTAAAAGACTATTTTCTTCAAAAATATTATATTATTTAGATGGTTTCAGCTCATGTAATCATTTATTCTTCGTAYTTGATTGTTTAATAAATTACATTTATCCCAGAAAAACTGTGTCACAGTATGGTCCTAAATATAAACAAGTTTACATCAAAAACCTTGTTTTTTTTTATAAAGTTGTGAATGAAATTTGTGGATCTTTATGATAAATTAAAATAATTTAAAACTCTTTCACCTAGAGAACATGGCAAGTTGTTTWTATTTTTTTAATATATATAATTTTTTTGACGGGGGTGTTCGAGAATCATCTTTGCTTTAATATGGGGCAAACAAATGTTCTGTTAGTTAATGTGGTTTAATTAGAAGAACACAAACAGTGAATCTCACAGAAAGACTCAGCCTGCGCACGCAGCAACGTGCTCCTCTCACAGCAGTCTCTCATCAGGAGGAGGAGAGTTTAGTCACTTACATAGAATTGGACAGATCTGTTCGATAACAACGCTCTGAACATGTATTTAATATAAAGTTAGGTTTTACAGACCAAAGTCTCTGGTAGTTCAGGAGCAAAGTGCAGGAGGAGATGTCAGGACTGATTGCTGCAGCCGCTGCTCGACCCGCTGCTTCAACCTGTCTCTGCTGAAAAATGCTCTCACTGAAAGTCCCGCCCTGCTCTGCTTTGATTGGATAAAATGGCTCTGGACTTSGTCCGATTTTTTGAAGGCAGTGTMCTTTTAATCCTTRTATYAGGGTCCCGCTGTCCTTAGGGGCTTGGTGAGCACCGAACAATGATCCAGTCACAGCAGTGCGGCTGGATTTATTTTATTTTTTTAAGAAATCAGGTCGCATTTGCAACCAAACTGGTTGCACCCTAGAGCCCTGCTAGCTGTTGTTTTGACAGACAATCAGGTACAATCTTAGGTAYGCAAGTGAGCTTTATGCCTTTCCATCTGGTGCGCTTTTCCTTTTTTGACCGCGCATGCGCACCTTCMCATCGCTTATGTGCAACTCTGCACATAGTATTCCCAAGTAGCCTCCCATCCAAGGACTAACCAGGTTTGACCCTGCTTAGTTTCCAAGATCAGATGAGATCTGGTGTGTTCAGGGTGGTATGGCTGGTATGCCTTTTAGAGAATGATTAACAGAAAGTAAATAGTAAATAATGGCAAGATTAAAATTTTTTAATTGTTATTAAAATAATTTGCAAAAATATTTACTCGCAGGATTTTTCTGCAGTTAAAATAAGCAACAACAAAAAAATATAGAAATTTGGAGCAATAGGTGTTAAACGGTTAAGAAAAATTCAGTTTGATACTCGATAACTTTTGGTCATAAAAAGATTTGTGACAACATTTTTATGTTCAAGTAATATTCTGTTACTAAGATTTCAGACAGTTTGTATAAGGGCAAAAATCCTGATTTAAAAAAACCTTTGGTTATAAAATGGCTACAATTCATTTTGTTAAAAAATATAATAAAATAAATCGAAAATGATCATAATGAGTTACATTCCTCTCTTAAACACTCTCAAACTGCTGAACACTGARATGATGTCATGCTACTCACCAGAACAGCCAGGTCTGCTTGTGATGCACCTCCGATCATGTTGGGGACAAAGCTTTTGTGGCCTGGAGCATCTAAGATAGTAAAGTGYTTTTTCTCAGTCTCAAAGTATGCTCGGCCCACCTCCACTGTCTTGCCTTTGTCCCTTTCCTCTTGATTGGTGTCCAACGCCCAAGAAAGATACCTAAAGAGATAAAGAGATGGTGTTAATACTGGCTAGGGTAGTTTCTAAGGTTTGGTGTGTACAGCAACACATACGAAACATTTACATTTAAAGAAATTACCCACTGATTTTCAAATTCTGACTTTTTTTTTGTCAAATAAGCAAAACTGATAAGATTTTGAAAGATACGCATCAGACTTGCCTTTGAGCTAGAAAAAACCACTGGACAGGCTGTAGAGCAGTGTTACAGCTGCAGCAGTGTTTTATAAAGATTTCAAAAGCTGACATGATCTAAAATACTTAAAGCTAGTTGATGGTAAAGAATGATCGGTACGCTCTGCAAGGATTTATTGGCTTCAAAGAAGAGAGGCTGTGAGGAGCTGAGAAGACAAAACCACTGTTAAGTTATTTTAAGCTGCTAAATGCACTCTATGAAGTTAAACAGGTTGACTGTCTGCTACATTTTCAGTGAATAAATGTTAGAYTTGACTTTTTGAACAGAAACCGGGCCTATGTTGGATGATGATGTGCTGGTGTTTTGTTATCTTGTCAAGATTTATTCTCCACCAGCTTTATTCTGATTTCCTCTTATTCTTTGTTTAAACACATTTCAATTAAAATGTTACAAGATAAATCCCAATTTATTTTCGGCCACTTTTGGTTGTTGTAGCAGGAGCTACATCCTGATGGCTGGAAACACCAGTTGTAGAAATGCACCTGTGTGTTAAAGTGCTCAGAGTTTTCCTCATGTTTCTGGCCTTGGGAGGGGAGGGAATGGGGTGTTCAACAAGATARCATTTGCTTTGAGCAATTTCACACMACATTACAGGGGTTTGTTTATTCATCTGTCAAGAATCACAGATAGAAGAGCACATAAACCTCAATATAGAAAAAAAAACTGACTGTTCTAGATTATAATGTTCCAGCTAGTGCCTGAATACAAAAGTAAATCTTAAATTAGATTTTTTACAAGAAATTGTACAGAAAAAAATTATGTAGGTCTAGACAAAAAAATGATTAAGCTCAATAGTAGTTTTTGCTCACTTTTTATCTCTCCAACATTGATATTTATTTCTCCAACAGCCTGGATCACAATGAAACATTTGTAAATTAGATAATGATGTGATCTACTAAATTTTACAACAGCAAATAGCTACTCTTTACTTGGCAACAGTTTATGTCGTCAGTGTAGAAGGTTTTTYTAGGATGTATTTGTTTTATAACAGCAGATAATCTTGAATACATAAGACCGTATGGGTTAGTGCATTGAAAGAAAAATTGGTAGAAGCACGTCAAAATTATTCAAAAACTAGAAACTGGTACCGGCCCAAAAAGAGAATCAGTGCATCTCTAACTGTAGCACAGCTAGTCCTTTCCACAGCACAAAAATAATAAAAAAAATGCCATTTATATTTGCCAGACTGATAGATTTCTGCCTTAAAAATGACTATTTCACTCAAAACAATATTTTAAAGATTTAATCATTTAACACAATTTTTTCATATTTAATCGTTTATGGAATTACATTTATCACAGCACAGTAACCTCAAAGCAATGTAATACAGAAAAAAACTACTTTATTTTGCTACTACCTGCTTTAGAATTGAAATTTGCATATTTWTGTTAAAATGCAAACACTTGACACYAACATTGAGAGRGAACACAGAGRGGTTTAGATAAAATGTTAAACTGAGAAATACCATTGCATTAATCTTGATCATACAAATAAATGTTTATAGAGTCATATGGTTTGATTTCAAGAAATAAAGCAACAAACACCTGAGAGAATCAAACAGGCAGTGTGCGGCGCACTACCACGCAGGTCTGATRTGTTAAGGATATTAGTCTGAATGTATTAATCCTTAATACAAAAATAGTGGAAAGATACAAAAGTACCAGGAGGCATGCTTTTAGCTAGGATTTCAAAAGAGGGTTTCTACACCCTAAAGCCAGGGATCCAAGGGCCCCTGGGCCTKGTAGGCCCATTTAGGAATCAGTAATCTATCCCTGCATTTCAATTAAYCACTTCACTGTCTGCCTATTGCTCCTGCAGCACATTCACAACATCAGCAGTTTATTTTATTTTTTACAGACATCTTTGTGTCTTCTGGCTTCATAAACTTGTTCTATGCTTGGTGCGCCTTCCCAATATGGGAAACGGTGACAAACAGCACACGGAACRACTGCTGGATCTAAATCAATATTTTCTAAGACCCAAGGCCCACTCCAATCCCAACTCTGATTGGCTAGTAGGCCCATCTACTGTGGCTGAAAATGAAAGCTCCACCTGGTCAGGGCCCAATGCAGGAGCAGGGAGTGATGGTGTATTGGCTTTGATGTCTCCTGCACCATACAGGATGGGTCACGTGTGATAGAACAGAATTAAATACACGGGTAAYGTTACAAAAGGCTCAGACAGCAATGTGTCTACTCACCAGGTTTCTCTGTTCTTCTCCTTTGCTTCTCTCTCGTACTTCTCTAAGGTTCTTTTGTCCACCATGCCCGTTAGATACCTGTTGGAGTGTGAGGACAATGTGTCAATACAATGCACATATTAAATACTATGGGTGTAAGAAAATATCGATACACTGAAATATCGCGATATTTCATTTCCCGATACTGTATCGATGTTCTAAAGCCCTGTATCGATTTTTAATTAAGGTTTAAAATGTCAACTTTCCTGCCAGCCGTTCATTTTTATGTTGTAGTTCAGCCTCTGACCACTAGTTGGCAGCAGTGAGCCAGCCACTTGGCTCCTCCACAGCTTGAGCGCCAGAGAGTAAGGGTAGCATTAGCATTGCGAGCAAACATTAGCTTCATGCTCCGATAGCTGAATCTGAGCGGAAAAGAACGACACCCTCTGCCTTCTAAGCTGAGTTAAGGTTACAAACAGTTACTTATGTATCAGAATGTCTGTATTTTAAGCCAAATTAAGTGTTTTGTGTGCTTTTTTCCAACTGCAGTCAGTTTTCACGTTATGCATATAGCGCATGCGTCTATCACCTCGAGCGAGCTCGGCACTCCCCCCGTGACATAAAATTCTGTCTGTTGCTCTTAATGTCCGGCTGATGATCACATCAAAGTCCATGTACTTTATCCTGCTGTGTTCGCTTCAAAAACGGTTTAACTCGTTTAGCTTCTCAATTTCTTAACTGGTTTTCTTCGGGACCTGCCCTGCTGTTCGACCCACAGTTACACAAATTATGTTCTGGATGCAGGTCAGCTGATCCCAGAAACTGTGTGTGCAGCAGCTTCATATCATCTGTTTACTGAACTTTATGACAACATAAACGCTATTGTTAAGTGTTGGGTGACCATATTGTAAATTAATATTAAAAACTAAAAGCTGCAAAAAATATATTTTCAAACTATTTATTGGCAAATTTAGTATAATAATTGAAAACATAGATGAAATATGAAACAAATAAAATAAAAYACATACAAAGCAGAACACAGCTAAATGTATCAAAAGTATGTCTATGTAATATTAGAATTTTCTGAGACAATGAATTTTGGTTTTACTTTTTTTTTTCCACTAAGAGGTTTTTATTTAATAGAACTTTTGGACCAAAAAATCGCAATATATCACCTTGCTTACAGTATCGCAATATATCGGGATATATCGTATCGTGAGCCCTCTGTCATGATATGTATCGTATCACCAAATTCTTGCCAATACACAGCCCTATTAAATACCCGACAATAGAACTTTAATGAATAACTCACAAATTGTAAACTAAAACTTACATAATTTGTCCTCCAATTGTAGACTTTCCAGCATCTGGGAGAAAGCAAAATCCAGAAAGTTTATATCTAAACCTTTTCAGTTGGCTTCAGAGATGTGAGTCAGTTCAGCAGAATTCATGAGTGGCTWTGGAGCCGGACAAGTTAGGACAACAAAAATCCATCTCAATTTTTTTTTATTATTCCTACATTAACCTCAACTGAGTGACATGGTTGAGAACTCTCAACAGTACAGCGTATTATGTCAGCAATTTTTTAACTTGGTAATGAGTTCATCTCTACTTGTACATTACTTCAGCAGATACACACATGGATTCTTACGGAAAGCAGCAAAGCTTACTGGTGAACACAGTGTTCAGTGGAACATGTTTKTTATAATTATTTTGGATGAATGCATCTTCAACACAAAAATTCACCTGACAGGTGTAATCACTGACCTACATGTCCGATGAACACAACATTGATGTGTTCCTTTTTGGGAGCGTCTGGTTGGACAGGTGGAATCTTTGGCACAAGTATTTCTTCTTCCTCCTCCATAATCTCTGGAGCCATCTCTTCAGTTGATGAAGACTCCACGRGCCCTCGGTCCACGCCTCCCGGCTCCTCCTCGTTTGGCTCTGCTTCTTTCTGGTCCCACGGCTCGTCTGCTGTCATCTCGGCATCGCCGTTCTCTACAGGAACTTCAAAATGACAAAACACAGCATATCATTGGGTAATGTTAAGAATATAAGGTTTTACCAACACAAGTAAAAAAAAGTTTGGCGTGTCTAAGCGATTTCATTAAAAGGTTAAAAACGCAACAATAGTGAATAAATTACTTTGAATTTTAAAATAAAAGTTAACGGCCAAGCATTTCTTGAAGGAACATCAATCATGCCAGAGTTCACAAAGATATTGCACTCAAAGCACATGTTGGGAACCATGCTCAACTACCACCACCCTGAATTATAGCTCAACATCTGTAAATTTAGTAATCCCCCCATTTATACATGTTAAGCTCATTAAGACAATTGTCTCATTTGCAATAAAGGTTATGCATAAATAACATTTAGCTTTTTCTGTGCTTTCTAAGATCACTTGGCTGTAGTAGCCATCTTGATTTAATATGAGCACAAAAGTTCTAAGCTGTAGATGTACAAAGAATTATTACTTTGGGAGACTCAACACTGATCTTGAATTATCAGTTCAGTTAGAGGGCAGTCTCAGCTACGTACCACACCACAAAATTTTATCTCAAAGTTCTGTAAATTATCCATTTTTGTGTTTGCTAAAGTCACTTTCATGCAGTGGCTATGTTAAATCAGCTGGACTACAAAAGTTAATCAGTTGTAGATATTTATCCAATGATTACATTCTGAGTTTCATTAAAGTCTTTAGTGTGATTTATGAGGCTTTTTTTTAACTGTACAAAGAAGTATATACATTCAGAGATGAAACAAAAACGTGCAAAAATGTCATTGCTCCTCACTTGAGCAACTAATAAGAGTATTAATAAGTTTGTTCTCTGTTCTTAACCTTTTTATTTCAGCAAACAGCAGAATTGGTAGCTGTTTAACATCAAGTGACACCAAAAAGTAAACCTTGTACAGTAGTTTGCAAAAAAATTCAGAGTCTTTGGGTTTTAAATGAATGTTTATGTAAAAAACAATGTCTGCTTCTTGCTAGTAGTCACTGTCACAATTTGTTTTACATATTTGAAATTGGTGGTTCTCAAACTTTGGTTTAAGTACCTCTGTTGATACTCAGGATCAAGAAATGTAAGCATCTATATATTACAAGTTATAAAAGGTCATTACCAATCATTTGCTGAACTGTGATGTAAAGCTGAAGAAGTGGTTATAGCATACTACAATCYTGGCTCAAACTACTAAAAACAAGAACTCCTGTAGAAACTAACTGAAGAATAATTGCAAATATTATTCACTTAAAGTTGCAGAACTGGTATTTTCTCAGAGCTAACCTGCTTTAAAAGACTTACAGTCAATCTTTGAATCTCTGATGGCTGGTCCTGGCTCAACTTATGTTACTGTGATGTTTTTACCAGTTCTGGGTTTCATTATTCCAACAGCAACAGTGGTTACAAACAAGTGCAAAACAAACCCTACATTTAAACCGTGTGATGTAGTGACTCAACACTTGCAAAGCAGCTCTGTTACAAATGTCAACAGATACTGAATTTTTTAACCTATAACAGTTGCTTTGCTAWAACCACAAGATATTTTACGATGATCATAACAATATTAAGAGCAAATATCTCAACAAATACTGAGTTGTGCATTAATGGTGAGCTTCTTTACAATGATTCTGAATATTTTGTGGTGTTATCCAACTCAAAAGACCATGTGTTTGATGTGATAATAAAACACTCCCAATAAATGTGGCAACAAGACAGACTAAACAAAGATAGGCTGATGCTAATCTACTGCAAGACCAAGTTCTCAGTTGTTTATTGGTCAAACATTCAACTCAGAATTGCAAACTCAAGATATTTAATATCCCTGAGCACATTTCATGTAGGTCACATGTATAAAATCAACATAAACTGATTCCTTATCTAAGCTGGTTCAACRAAGTACCAGTAATAGTTTTGTTCCCAATTACTCTAGCTAGACTCCTTTCTTCATTCGCTTCATTTCGCTAATCATTTCTACTTCTCTGGTATTTCATTTTAGAAATTAATTTCACCATGAATATAAAGAGAATGAAGGTGACTGTAACTAAGAAGAAAATAGTTCAAAGAAAACCAGTACTGGGAGACTAGCTAGTAAGGCTGTACGATGTACAGTTTGAGCAWCGTCATCGCAATGTTCRTGTGCTCAATAGTCACAAGGCAGATCCTGCAATGTAGGAGGCAAATTAAATCAACGAGTAAAGCACAAGTCAATAAATAGTTTTATTTTGACAACGCTCACAGCCGCTTCCACCAYTGCTGCAGCAGCTATGGGCGCTGCATGTAAAWAACAAACAAAAACAAACTTTAATTTTGTCATAAAGTGTCTGGGACATTATTCAAAGAAGTGTTGGCTGAATTTCTGAGTTGTGGAGGAAGACGATGAGGGTCTTGATGCAAAAGGAGGAAAAAGTTGCAAAATACAGTTTAGCATTAATGCTAATATTAAAGCATGACAAAAACATAAACCAAGCTCGACACAGGGGCAACATGTTAGATGGGATAACACAATTCATGTTTGCACATGACTGAAGGAAACATGTATTCAGGTCTCGCCACAATAAAAGTAAGMAATAAAATATATGCATAACTCTCAAATACAGACAAAAACATACTGCACAAAAAGAGGAAGGATCAGTGCAGGTACATCTTCAACATGATGGCAACATAACTTAAAGTGTTATTTAAGTCTATTGTGGAAAATTCCTGTATTTTTTTATACTGCAATGCAGATTGCAGAGTTAGAAAAAAATTGCAATGTCAGTTTTTTTTCCAATAATGTGCAGCCCTACTAGCTAGCAACACTATTCATGAAAGAGTATCCAAAAATATGTTGAAGCTATTTATTTTATTGAATAAGTCTCAATACAAATGTAATTTAATAAGCAGACTATATTGTTCTGTATACAAAGTTTACTATAATTCATT